ATGGAAAGATGCTATTACAGTGGAACTCACGGCTATGGAGGACATGGGAGTTTGGAAAGTGGAGGATAGGCCTGATAATGTGAACACATTGGGACTTAAATGTTCAAATGGAAACGACTCAATCAGACCAGCAAGCCAATAAAATTCAAAGCACATTTAGTAGCCAAAGGTTCAATCAATGAGAACTTTGCACCAACAGCCTGCGGCACATCACTGCATTTTCTTCTGAAGTTAGTGGCACACATGAGAGAATTCAAGGAACTCGACACCTGGTAAAAGCCAGTAAACGGGCTAAGTCCTTCTGGTTCTGAACACCAAGGACAACAATACTACACACCTGGTAAAAGCCAGTAAACGGGCTAAGTCCTTCTGGTTCTGAACACCAAGGACAACAATACTACACACCTATTAAAGGTGAGAGGGACAAGATTCAATCTATACAAAAGGAGGTAATAGAAATAAGAGCAATTGATGAATAAGGTTGATATGATTGAGTTGAATTTAATGTTTGAGAAAAGAACTCACACACCTAATTTTCCTCAGTGGACTGATGAGGAAAAAGAGGCGCGCGCGGAGTGGCGATCAGTATGAACTAAGTTGAGTGATACAATGATGATACAGCTAAATTTGTAATTAGGTTTGAGTTTTTGTATTGGTGGATTTGTATAGGTGATCATATTGTATCGGTGACTGTATGGTTTTAGTGAGGTATGTGTTTGTCGTGATTGAAATAAATGATATATCTTAACAACACATTGGCTGGCAGGTACACTCATATGACGTCAGTGCGGCATACCCCCACAGCAACATTACAAACAAAATTTATTTCACACTACCTCCAGGATGTATGGATGTGGCAAGAAAAGCAAACAAGTGAAGCGCTTTATGGGACAAAACAAGTAGCCAGGTGTTGGTGGAAACACTTTGAGAAGATTTGGAAGCAACTTGTATTCAAACCCAGCCAAGTTGATCAATCATTATACATGTGCAAGACAGGGGATGAAGTGTGTATAGTGTGGGTACATTTTTATGATGGAGCGGTGACTGGAAGTGGTGTGGAGTTGTTGTGTGAGATTGCAGATGATTTGGTGAAAGATTTAAAAATAAGATGGTCAGAAAGTTTGGATTGTATTATTGGAGTTGATAGTAAGAGATTACAGGATGGCTTGTTTGAAATATCACAAGCAGTTTTAACAAACAAGATCATTGAAGACTTTCTAGAAACACCCGGTAAACTCAGTACACCCTTGGACTTGTTAAATATTCCGTCATCACCTTTGGAAGAAGAAGAATCAATTGTCAAAACCTCATATCTATTGGCACTAGGGTTCCTGAACTGCTTAGCAATAGCAATGAGACCAGACCTAACCTAGGCAACCAATTTCCTCACAAGATTTTTGGCAAGACCAACCCAACAGCACTGGGATGCCATTCAAGGTGTACTTCAATATCTCAAGAACAATGGCTGTGTCAAACTTAAACTCAAATTCAAACTCAAACTCAAACCGCTGAAGACTGAAGTCAAGACAGGATTACACACTTACGTTGACGCAAACTGGGGTGGTGAATATTCACTGTCAGTTCATGGTTTTGTAATGTATTTCCTTGGATTTCCTTTGTCTTGGACGTCAAAACATCAAGGGTGTATAGCTACATTGACATGCTACACAGAGTATATGGCTCTTGAGACAGCGGCGAGGGAGGCAGTATGGTTGAGGAACCTTGTCAGTGATGTTATAGGGGCAATGGGACCTGTGAATCTATTCTGTGACAACACATCCGCCATTCATGTATCAAAGGTCAACTCTTTGAACAAAAGGACAAGACATACCAACATAGAATTATATCACAGCAATGAACAAATATTCAAAGGCATGGTCACACTTCATTGGATTGATACAAAGGATCAAAAAGCAGACATCTTAACAAACACTCCGGGTTCACAACCATTGGAGGCGGGAAAGAAAAATCTCAACTTAGAATGACTAGCTTAATTTGACTCATCTCAATTTTATTTCTTTATTTTCATGTGTGTTTTAAATGTGTGTTCTTCAAGATGGGCACCGGCCGGTATCCGGCGTGTTCAGGTCATTCCGACAACCAAACCGACAGATTTTCCGGCCACCAGATGATTTCAAAGGCCTTTCCGGCATCTGGATCCGACAGATATCCGGCCAAAATCCAGTCTGAAAATGTGGTATCCGGCGTGCTCAGGCCATTCCGACTCCCGAACCGACAAATTACCTGGCCACCGGATGAATTTGAAGCCCTTTCCGGCATCCAGATCCGACGGAGCATCTGTTGGATATCCGCTCAATATCCGGGGCCGGTGCTCATCTTGATAGGGGTTGGGCGATATTTCGACCAACCGGTTTTGCGCCTCTGAGAAGCCTAGCAAAAGCAGTCAAAGATGGTGGAGAGCAAGTTTTATGGGTTTCACACATCTGTTACGGATCTGAGCTCAGAGCCAAGAGTGTTTAGGCAATACCCACTGTGAACATCATTCAACTTCCCCACATTGGAAGAGGAAAATGATTAATAGTACAGTTTGTCATAAAAAGATCCAATACCGCTCACCTGAGCCTCAACACCCACACTACATATGTGCAGTACGCTAAGTAAATAGTTTTCTATCATGTACATACAAGTCTGCTCAGTTTTTTGCCCATCAGAATATATAAATCACATGTTATACCACATGTAACTTTTTTGACTTGAAAAAAATTGTCCCAAGAATTCACTACATATAATTCTGTAGCTGCTCAGGCAATATTTTTGAAGCTATTTCTTAGTAACAGAAAGGGTATTACATGCAGTTGAGTTGATGAGATTACACCAAAACGTTGAGTCAGTGTATGTAGTCTATCTTTTGAATGCTTTTGTCAATCTGAAAAAAGTTACAGCATGTATTACATATGAATAACTCATCCTGCTGAGCAGATAACTGAGCAGAACTGTATGTACATGATAACCACCAATTCACTGAGCCTGCTACACATATGTAGTGTGAGTGTTATGGATCAGGCGTGGAGTGATAGATCATTTTATGACAAATGATACTCCCAATCATTTTTTCCTGCCCACTTGGGGAAGTTGATTAATGTTTGCAGTGTACCCAGGCAACCTTTTGCCTGAAGACAAGGGTTGGGGATCAGTGAAAGGTGTAAAAGGCATGTTTGCATGGCTTGTACTTACAAGCCCAGCGGCGCAAATCAATTTTCCCTGTAAGACTTTTGAACAGGTGAAGGTTTGGCCTTCTGAAGAAGCACTTTGTACCGGTCTGTATTTTTGCAAAGCAAAAAGACAGATCAAAAGGTTGGTTAGTTATGAGTGGCTTTGGTATTGCTTTTGAGCAATCTCAAAAGCATTCCTAAATCTTTGAACTGCAATTGAATTGCTTTTGGAAACCGGTTGGTCGAAATTTTGCCCAACCCCTGATGTGTTCTGGTTTCTGTTGTTTTCTTTCTTTTCATTTTGTTGGAACAGTTATCTGTGGCTTGTTGTGAGGGGGTGTTGTAGAGTGTTGTGTGTACACGACTGCGCCACAGCAGATCACATGACAGTTGTACAGCTAGAGACTAGAGTACAGATATAGTCTCCGTCCTTGGCATCGGCTTCCACATCATCATCACTTGTGGAGCTGATACCTTGGACAAGAACTAACCTGTGCTGGTCAACTTATCTGTTATAGATAGTGCCAATTGCGTAAAAATTTTCAGCAATCAAAGGGGCTTCAAAACAATTGGAATTTCAGAAGCTGGCTGGAAGAAATACCAAATACAGCTTTTATGCCAAAGAATCTGCCCACTCTCCGTGACTGTGCAAGCAGTCATCCAGCTTCCCAAAAACTCACCATGATCAACTTTCTCTCGCTATCACATCGCCTTCATCGCCTTATCAAACCATCCTAATGGCTCCTGTGTGGGCATACATAGGACGCAGGCTAGATCAAATCTCTTGACCTCAATCTCAGTTGAAGGCTTGGCGGTAAGAGGACGGCGGTGGGCTTCTCTTATAGAGTAATTTCCAAGGAAAAGAGTACGTGCAAGTACATATCTTGGGGTCAAATTTCAGGATGGTGCAGGAAAAGCCAGGAAAAGTCGCTTGCACTTAGCATTCAGAACAGACAGCTCATGCTGGAATGGACGGATAATTTACCCGTAGATATCGCGGCGTATTCGGGGACTGGACTTAAAGTCTGAGTGAAAAGGTTTTGTTGAGCTGACCCGTTTTTATGAATTTGCTCTAGCCTGCAACTGTGGACATGAATCTGGATATCCAGGATCAGCCGCAGCTCAACGCATGCAGATCATGTAGACTTTACTATTTGCTGGCAGCCGTTTTTACGAAAGCACCAAGAGTCGCTGTGATGATAGCTCAGATAATCTCTTGTCAAATATTCATCGTGACACAATAATTTCGCCGAGTCTTGCATCCAGCATCGTTTGATAGTCAATTGCACGAATTCATGTCTTCAAACAACCAACAGACTGTGCTTATCACAGGCATTGTAAGCGTTTTTCCCGTCTCTCGTACTGCTATCCTGACCAAGCGGATTTAAAATTAAAGAAGAATCGCCAGGCAAGTCGAGTACAATATACTGACGCGAGACTCATCCAGAATGGCTTTGTAGGCTCGCACGTCGCCAAAGCCTTTTTGGATCACGGCTGGAATGTCGTGGGAAGTGTACGATCAGCTCAAAAAGGGGAAGATCTCCTCGGCCGGGTTGAATTTGCCAAAGCAGCCGAAGAGAAACGTATAAGTTATACTGTGATTGAGGATCTCACCACCTCTGATTTTACTCAAGCACTCGAAGGTGTCGATGCTCTGGCGCACACCGCTAGTCCGTTCCACTTGAACGGAAAAGCATTTTCTGAATACGGTCAGTACTGCTAATTTTTTCATGACTCAACACAGTCTCATATTTCTGATTTCTTTGTCTATAATTTTACATCAGCTATTCCTGCTATTACTGGAACCTCAAACGTTCTCAACGCCGCCAAAAGTTGCTCAAAGATCAAGGCCGTTGTTGTTACTTCCTCCTGTGCTGCCGTCCTGAACTTCAAACCGCAAGAGAAGCGAAATGGGAAGACCTACACTGAAGCAGATTGGCTTCCAGTCAATTACGAAGAAGCTGAGGCACAAGATAATCCGAGTGTATGGTATTGTGCTTCAAAAAAATACGCTGAGAAAAAAGGCAAGACCCCAGGCTCAAAGTCTCTCAACTTTCACATGTTCGACTGACTTGATTGTTTTCCCATTAACTTTAGCTTGGGAAATCAAAGAGAGCGGGACCCCTTGGAGTCTTGCAACAATATGTCCACCCATGGTCTTTGGTCCCATTGTGAGCTTTTTAGACAAATAAATTGAATCCATTGACAAACTCATTCCTTTTGCAGGATCCCACATTTACTGATTTCATTTCTCTTCTCAAACAAGCTCCACACTTCGAATCTTAAGAGCCTCAACGAGTCCTCAGGTCGTCTTTACGAGCTCCTATCGGGTCAAACTGGACAGGTACCACCAACAACAGTCCCAGTATTTGCAGATGTCCGTGATGTAGCAGAAGCTCATGTACAAGCCATCATTAAGCAATCCACCGGTCGGTTCTTGATCTGCTCAGGCGCCTTCGACAACCAGCGTATTGTGGATTTAATTCATGAGCGGTTTCCCAAAGGCTCTTCTCGAACCCCTAAAGGTAATCCTGGTGAACATTGCCCTGCTGATCAGGTTTATCAAATTGACTCCTCCAAGGCTATCAACACTTTCGATCTCAAGCTAAAAACTTTCGAGGAAACCTTTGGAGATACTATCGCCCAATACCTTGAAATTGAGGAAACATCTACAACTTCTTGAATGAATTTCAGACATACCTTGTTTTCACAATGATCTTGACAGAGCTCATTTTCATACGATGTAGAGTACAAAATGTAAACACACGCCGGGTTTTTGAAGAGTTTGTAGCAAAAGAATCAAAGATTTGAATTTATCGTTCGACTGCCATAACTTGATCAGGAGAATTGGTTTGCATGTAACTCTTAGACAGACCCATATCTCCTTTCCTCGTCATTGAGGGAAGTATGGACTCGATAAATTGGTCTGCCAAGCAAGGTTTTTTTCCTTTAAACTGCAGATCTGTATCATGTAGGCGATGCACTGAATGAAAGACCCGTCTCAATCTAGCTTTTTAAATCCTATGCTAGCACTCAGCAGCTCAGCCTCTAATAATCGTCGAGCGCTTTCATCCATCAAAACCTGATACAGTCGTTTGCAAAAAGCTTGCCACAAATTCACCGCCAAAACGCTCCAGTTTTGCGGGCAAATTTCGGCAAGCTTTTTGAAAACGACTGTAAAATCTTGGTGACACGTCGCTACGAGGAGCTTACACGCGGATGACATGCTCTGTCCTCGGCGTGGTCCGGTCCCTGTAACATACTCGGCGACACGGGCTCGGGAATCAGAATTTGGGGAAAGATTTTTTTGTAAGAAAGTTTGCAAAGACTACCAACGACGACGACGCAGCAGAATCAGACGAGGACGAAGACGAAGACTGAGAGGAACGCACAGGATGGACAGAAGAAGACTATGTCTGAATTGTTTAAGAACTAAACCAATTATCATCACTCCAAGAGGTATTTATGTTTTCCACTGAACATACATGAACTAAGCAGTCAACTGATGACCACATGCGCTTGTTCACAGCCAGAAACGTCCACCTCTCATTCTCAACTTCTTCTCGATCACTTTCCTTGTCATCCAATACCAATCAGATCTCTCCTACAAATGAATCTGAATTGCTCTATCAGCCATTAAACAAAATTCGACCTCCTTCCAACTCTACCTCATCCGAATATCTCCATCGAATTCATTCTCTTCTATATCCTCCTCCTGCTTCTGAATTATCAGCCTTAGCACATCGAATACCTAAATTACCAAAGACTCTCTTGACGCAGCAAGACTTTTTAAAATCTGTTGAACAATGTTTAGTATCTTCAAGTTTTTGGAAAGGAATTGAAGAAGGAGATGTGAAATTAGATGATCTCAAAAAATCTATCTCTACATGGAAACCTAAGTTTTCAACAAGTGATTTTGAAGAGACTTTGGAAGAAGAGAAATTAAACGAAGTGTTTTTACCTGGTAAACTTACTAATGTGATTGCTCCTGATCAATCGATGGATGCCAATTCTCAAATGCACCCATTTGGATCCGAACGTCGTAGGAAATTAACTGAACAACAAAAAACTTTAGATCCCAGTCTCGATTCGCTTGAAATCGATCCCAAGTGGAGTCTTAACTACCCAAAGTTTACAAATTATTTGGATGATGGTCAATTACATAACGAAGAACTTGCTACACTTGGAAATAGTCTATTAGGTGTCTTGGGGGCTGAATGGATCGATAGGCGGTACCCTCATCTTCCTAACAAGTTCGTATCATAACTTTTTTTCCCATATTATTTTTTATCTCCTTGGTTGTTGTGTCTGTTTGTGTTCATCACTCTCCTTCTGTTGCAACTTCTCAAAACCCGTTAAACAGAGCCTTTCAAGCCGCTCTAACAATGTACGTTGGTCCCCGAACATGCGCAGATGTATCTAGGATATGGGGAGTCTGTTCAGCCGCTGGACTATCAAATCTTACGATCGAAAACAAACCAAGAGTAGAGAACAGCTTTGCAGGAGGAGCTTTTGATATTGATGGACTACCTAAAAACAAAGGTCTTTCTCATAAACAAAACGGTCACAAAGGTGAAGAACGTTCTCAGCCGGGTTTATTACGTTGGCGTCGAGCCGAGACAGCTCTTGGTCAAAAAGCATCAGGATTCAAACAAGGTGTACTCTATGAAGATGCAATGGCAAGCGTTTCGAGAGCATTTGTGGGATTGGTTTATACTTTATCTGGAATGAAAGCTACTAGAGAATTTGTGGCTGCTAATTGGTTGAGTAGGAAAGCACAAGTTGGTGATCTGTTAAAGTTTACAAACCCATTCATTGTTTTGAAATATACACTTGCCAAATACGATCGTGAACCTCCTGTTGCAAGGTAAGTAATGATCTTTTTCCTTGTTTCAATTCAAGCATTTCTTCGCTGTGGCTCACATTTTTTGGTTTTTGATATCAGATTGTTAAGAGAAAGTGGACGAGCATCAGCAACGGCAATGTTCGTAGTCGGGTCTTATTCCGGTTCAATGAAATTAGGAGAAGCATATGGAACATCAATGAAGATGGCCGAATACCGAGCACATGAAGATGCATTACGACGAATCTATTTATCTTCATCAGGAAACGATTCATCAAACTCACTTCCAAGTGACACATTATTAGGAATTGATTATATACCACCAAGTTCACTTGGAGATTTAGAAGTAGAGGAAGCAAGTTCAACAGATCGAAGTGGTGGTAGGAAAGCAGAAGAGTGTGTAGAAGATGTATTAATGGCTCGTAGGAGAAAAGTATTGGAGAAAGTCGGTTTGCCACCTACTGGTTCAAAAATGGCTTTATAAAGCTAATTAGATTTATTAATCAATACGTACATACCTGCTTTTGATTTATCCCACAAAGGCAATTTATAACCTGGTGCACATTTTGCTTTGCTATAAACTTGGATAATGATTTGTGATAGCCAAACATTCATAACGGACTTGAAGTATTCATGTCTGGGTAGTGGCTGGAATGCAGGTCAATGGATTTTCAAAGGAAGATCTTATACAACAGAACATTTCTTTTGGAAGTTCTGCTGCACCAGAGTACTGATTTCTGGAAGTTGAGGATCATAATGCAAGGTAGAATGTGTCAAAGGGAAGCTTTGGTATGTATATGCCTTGAAGTAGAGCGACACAGGTGAATGCCATGATGTTTGTGGCCTATTCCCACGGTGGTGGCTAGGCACAGCCTTGGTAATTCCAGACTGATGGGCTAATTTTGATGTTCTGGCTCAAAATTCAAGCTCTTGAACATTGTAAGATTGAGCAGTTCAAGGATGATCTGCCCAATTGCCATCAGTGTTTGGATCTTTTCAAATTTCCAGTTACAGTGTCCTTTCTTGGTTATTTGTTCAAACCCAATTTCCTTACTCAAAACTCTACCTTTGGGCATCCAATAGGAGTTGTATGTAGTAGGATTTTTGAATAGAATCTGCATACATGGACAGTAATTGGACAGAAAATCTTGAATTTGTTCTTGCATAGATGCTCAGAATAACAAACCTCCAGCAAGAACATTGGATTTGTGCATTTGCAGGTAACCTTTTTGATAGTACAAAGTTTTTACCACTAGTCACCATATGTACCCTCCCTCCTCACAAAGCTTGATCAATACTCAATTGATCTTGGAGAGAAGCATCTTGAATGATCCAAGATGGGCCTGGTTGCATAAGAAATTTCAGTTTGACTGATCTGAGAAGATCTTCCTCATGGGAATAGAAAAAAAACAGCACACTCATCTGCTACCTTCCTGTACTTGGATATTTTTATGAAATAGAATTTATATGAAGACCGTTAGTTCCTGTGAGCTATTATTGCCAATAAAGGGACCTTGTATGTGGTGTTCAGTTATTTGATTCAACAAATTCTTTAGAGAAAGGCTGACTTTAAAAGGGTTGACCAAGGTTTGCCTGCAAAATTCAAGGTATTTGGCTTGGACTTCTTGCCAAGCTTTGTGAGATTGACTGTAAGAACTTGGGATCAACGTCTTTATGGCCAAATAGAAGTCCTTGGATTTCACAATGCAAGGAACCTTCACTTTACTATAGATGGCCTTGGACAGTTTGTCTCAGGCTTTGATGCAAGGTGATACCTTCTGCCAAAGAATTCCTTGGATCATGTTATTGAACTCTGTGTCTGAGGTAAATGACACACAATTACCACTTGGATTTCAAATTCTGAGGTAATCTTGTTGGAAGTGCATGTACAAGCGCTTGCAGAAAAGATACAACACCTGTTTACCCTGCCGGCCCCAAACACATACCTATCAGATTAAACTGGTGTTATATCTTTTCTGCAAGCACTTGTACATGTGATTCATGGCAATCAAAACCCATGAAAAATTTGTATCTTGAATCAAAGGCCTCATGGTATCAAAGATTATGCCTTCATTCTAGAAAATTTGTCCAAAGGTTGAAGATCCCTTCAGAAAACCATGTGTCCCTGGATATTGATCATCTTTTATGAACCTTGACAATGGCCATGGGATTTAAGTGTCTCATTGAACAGCCACACTACCCACACTACAGCTTCTGGGGGTGGACCAATTGGTTTTGCATGATTCAAGTACTTTGTCAATGTCCTCAGTGACCCCTCTTCTTGCAAGACATCAATGACAACCATATTTGGTACTTCAAAGAGTAGAGGCTGAGTTTTGAGAAGAATCCTCTACTGCTTCAGCTGGGAGTCATCCTTACATCTGAGGCCAAGCTGGGAAAATGCCATAGGTATAGTCCTTGAAACCCAAATTTTCTAATCTTTTTGTGTGAAGTCTTTCTCAGGCTCTGTATAGGGAGCCTGTCTATAAGATAAAAATAGATTTCCAGATGTCCAACCAAATTCTACAGCACATATTGTTACATTAGAAATGTCAGAAGACGCAGTAAACAATCATCATGTTTAAAAGTACATCAACATCAATGCCAAATGAAGATAGAACCTTGAACTCCGGTACAAAGGTAAGAAGATGAACCTTGTGACAGAATCTGTCCTGATAAACACCCATTACAATGCTGAAGGTGAGCCTCTATCAACTCTCGTTGCAATAGCCTGATAACTAACCTGATAAACACATGTAACAATGCTGGAGGTGAGCCTCTATCACCCTGTCACCATAGCCTTATAACTAACCTATAAGGTTATTCAGGTCATATACAGAAATAAGGAAGAGTGTTGGAACAAATGGTTTCAGCAAGCTGACTCTTTTCCTCAGACAAATGGATTATATATTTCACCTGGTAAACACCTGTGAAAATGCTGGCGGTGAGCCTCTATCACCTCTTGTCACAATAGCCTGATAACTGACCTATGTAATCAAGAAAGAACACATATAAAATGAAACAAAAAATAACATCACTATCTATCTGACCTATACAGTTATTCAGGTGATATATAGAAATAAGGAAAAGTGTTGTTGCACATGGTTCAGCAAGCTGACCTAGCATTGACAAGGGTGTGTCAGATGAAACAAATGAATAGAACAAATAATTTGGTTAGTGAGAAAAGAATGTAGAGAAAAATAAAAGTTGCCTCTTTTCCTCAGACAAATGGATGAAGAAAAGAGAACAACAGTGCAGACACACACACTCTATATGACTAAAATCTTTATAGTTCAAATAGTATAAAGCATTTGTACATTTGACTAAGATGTTTATAGTTTGAAATACAAAGCATTTGTCATTCAATATTCATGAAATAGTAAGATCACACAAAAATTGGAACCTCTAGTGAATGAGAGACCAGAATGAGAGACTAATTAGGAAAGTCACTCAACATCTTAAGACCTTTAAACCATCAGTATTTATTCCGTTCAACTTTATATAGGAGATTAATTCAATCATCTCACAAAGAATCCCTCCGGATAGCTGGCTATTAGCAGCAGTAAAGAAGTTGTGTGACAGATAATGTTACTTCACCAAATGGCAGGTGGCACCTCCTGGGCTTTTGTGATAAACCCAGCAAAGAAGTCCACTGGCTAGAAGGCAAGGATATGTTACACATGCACAAGGGATCACCTGCAACAGCCACCTTTATCTCAAACCAGAGCAGGTCTGTGATCTGGCCCTAAAATTTCAGGGCCGGCCACATGGCCAGATCCGGCCATAGACCTGAAGGAGTTTGAAAACTGCTCAAGGCCAACCAGGGCCACCTTGAGTGCTTTTGAATTATAGGTGCAGAAATGTGGTCAAAATGCAATTATTTTGACCTGCAAGGCCATTAAATGCATACCAAATTTTATTTCAAGGCTATATGAGCCTACTTGGACATCAGAAAGAGCTATGATGGGCCTAGGTTGAAAAAAGGCTGATTTTATTTGTTTGTGAAGCAAAAAAAACATTGGGCACCAAGGTGGCCAGGACCGCCAGCGGGCCCGCAGGGCGTCTGCGACTTGGCTTCAGTGTGACAGGGCACAGACTGTCAGCTTCAAAAAGCTCGTTGGGCAGAGTTGCTTAGTCAGGGCCGGGTCCAGGTCAAACCAGAGACCCAAACAAGTCATGTTGTGGGCGCGGCGCAAAAAGCGCGAAAGAGGCGCGCCTGGGCGCGGGCGAGCCGAGGCGCGCCCTAAAAGGTCAAAATGGGTAGGGGCGCGCCTGTATATAAGTTATTCTGCAGGTAGCAAAAGTATCCTGTATAAGCTTCAAATGGACAAGTCAAAGACCCTCCTCTAAATCCAAACCGATCAATCTTCAATGCCTTATGTATGATTTTCGCTACCTACAAATCAGATCCGCCTGTTTGCCATCAAACTGCTCAAACTGGTAGCCCATGCTGGTGGCGTTGAAAGCCTTTTCACGTGTATGGCAGCTACCAAGACTAAGTCTTGCAATCGGATGACTTCAACTCACCTGAAATGATATCGCAAGTCGAGCTATCATCACTTGCGCATCACTCAAAAAAGATTGAAAGCGAAAAAAACAACAATCCTAATATCGAAATCAAAAGCAAAATGTCCCAAGACTTGGAACCTCAGCGGACTTACTTTTTGGGAGTTGGAGCACTTGAGGAGTTTGAAGATGGAGTCCTATGGAGTCTTGTCTCAACAGAACCCTGCTGATCTTTTTATCGTATGTACAAATAATTTTTATGAGAGTTTTTGGGGTTTTTTTGCAAAAGGCGCGCGCCTCACGCGCCCCAGTGGCGCCCGCGCCTGCTGAAATTCAACTTTTCGCGCCTGGGCGCGCCTCAAAAATTTAGAGCGCGCCCACAACATGACAAACAAGATTCCAAGCTTATTTTGAGGATATGAGATGAAAAGAATGGTGTCTACCAGTGTATAGAACATTTCCTTATGAGCAGTCACTGAAGATAGCTCTTGGATTTCTGCTTAGGAGTTAAGAGTATTTCTGGTTGATTCCAAACAAACAACTTACTCCATAACGTATCCACTTCTCAGTTTCTAACTACTTCAAAGAGGAAGACAGGCAAGAGCCAAAGAAATTGTGGTTTGGCTATAAGTCTAAGGGAAAGACTAGTAAGCTATTGGTAAGGGGTGTTAATCTCAGTGACCCATATAGAGCAAGAACAAACCTGCTCGAAAGGATGGAATAAGAATCGGTAAGAATATTATTAACAGCACAAGAGCATCATCATAAAAGTGGAAATGATGATAACCTAAGGGAAAGACTAGTAAGCTACTAACAAACCTGATAGAAGTGATGGAATAGCAATCGGTAAGGAAAAAGAGAAAGGTTACAATGTAGTGAAGACCTCTATCTTTATATACCAAAGACATCACTTAGACACAGTCAGGGCAAATGCTGTAATGACTAACAATATGACATTATAACATGAGATGAGTGATCAATATGTAAGGATTAAATATAAGATGAGATAAACCAAAAGACGTCTATACTTTATGCTTAGATCAAAGAATAGAGTCAAAAGATACATTCACGATATCATACTGCTACTGAAGCCTTTTCTATTTCCAAATATTGCTGGATGGTATCGCCAAAGACTTGATCGAATGTTTTGATTTTGAGACCAAAGGTATTCACAGCCTTCTTCGGATCCAATTGATAGATGTCTTCGCGAAGGTAATGTTTCCCAGGATTTCCGATGGGAGCTCTACCGGAAGCTTCGGGGAATCGCTCACGGATAAAGTCAACCACCCTCTGATTATCGTATTCGGACGAAGAGACGAGAAATCGCCCGGTGGATTGTTGAATGATAGCTTCCACATGAGCTTCTGCTACATCACAAACATCCGAGCAGGCAGGGAATACGGTTTCTGGGATTTCTCCTTGATTGGTTTGGCCCGATAACAGCCGGTATAATTGACCGGAGGACTCGTTGAGGCTATTGAGAGCTGTGGTGTGAATCTGGGGTTGTGTTTGGGTGATCATCGCATCATAAGTAAGCCCCAATGGCAAGAAAAAAACGGAGAGAAATTAGGGAATGTGAGAAGAGACTGACGACCGGTCCAAAGATCATGGGTGGGCAAATTGTTGCCATACTCCATGATGCGCCGCTCTCCTTGATTTCCCAAGCTAAGATTTCGACAAAGAAATTGCGTCAGATCAAGTCAAGTATAGTCCGAAAGAAAGCGTGGAGATTGACCTTTCATTTCGGCAAATTTCTTCGATGCACAATACCATACACCAGGGTTAGTTTGGGCTTCGGCTTCCTCGTATCCAATGGGAAGCCAGTCCTCTTCGGTGTATACCCTATGAGCTTGTTGTGTTGGAGGTTCACGATTGACAATCGCTACAAAAGAAGACGTGACCACTACGGCTTTGATCTGACTGAACTCCTTTGCCGCTTCTAGGACGTTGGATGTACCTTTGATGGCAGGCTCGGCTACATCATCATCCACACATTTTTCGATGTCCATTAGTCTTATGACGTAGCGTGCTCATGGGATGAGACAGATTGAAATACCGTAGTCCGCAAAATTTTTCCCATCGAAATGAAAAGGACTCGCGGTATGTGCTAGGGCATCGACACCTTCCATTGCTGGGCGGAAATCTGAGCTGACAAGGTCCTCAACAACTACATAGCGTATGCGTTTCTCTTCGGCGGCTTTCGCGAAAGCAGGCTGGCGGAGCAGATCATCTCCCTTTTTGGCTGAGCGCACTGTACCTACTACGATCCAGTCTCGGTCTAAAAAGGCCTTAGCTACGTGCGACCCAACGAAGCCGCTCTGGAGGATATGCGAAATCAATGAGGGGGCTTTTAGCCATAGCGGCCAAGGCCGATTATAAGCAACGCAGAAGTGAACCACTGACAATTCCTGTGACCAAGACAGTTTTTGGAGACATCTGTGGAAGGTGTTGGTGTGGTGTGTGCTAGGTTTTGAATTATTGAAAGAATGGATCAAATGATGTGGGCTTTGTAACTCTTGGCCATTTTGTAGAGAATGAGTTGGCCTGGATTTTATCTATGGCCGTTGGACTTGTTGGGGACAAGGAAACCATTGTACCATTTCCTAATTCGAAGTTCAGAAGATCTTCGCCCCTCATAAACACTGCCGAAAGACGCTTCTCGAGCATACATCTTCAAGGAGTGAGTAGACAGCATGCAGCTACAACCTATTCATCGGATCCATCATGACAGAATCTCCAACGTCCATAAACTGATCCGTCTCCTAGATCACTTTTCAGACAAATCAAGCGCTGGGCGAGATCTGACTGTTATTTTCCCAGATGCTATTTCACCCCAGTTGATGCAGTTCAACTGACCGAGACTGGCGCATACGTCCTGAACTGCTTTCAACCTCGGATTTGACCGTGATGACCCGCCCCTATGTCGATTTCTTAAACATACCACTACTTGACATATTGGGAATGGTTCCACAACCTGTTATAAGCTTGGATAAACATACTCTTTGCTTTGGTCTCATAAAATTTGGTACCCATAGTTCTGGTCGTGGCATCCACCAAGCCTTGCAAGATGTTTTGGGTACAAAAGTCAATTGATGCAAGAATCAAGTTACAGTATGTCTTAGATTTTCTTCAAAGATTATGTTGAAAACTTGAGATCGCCTTCATCATCTAGGGCAAAGCAGTCTGGATGACAGACCCGACTGTCCCCGGAAACTGTTTGTTTCAGTTCAGTTTGATAATTGTATTTTCAACTAGGATTACAGATAGCGAGTTTTCCACTCTTTTGGGACTTTGCATCCATCACTCTGGTAATGAACTTGTTATCATCAGAAGCTTGTGGAAAATTAGCTTCTTGAATGATTCGAAGTTCGTCTAATGGATCCGACCCACAAAGTATTTCATTCTTGCCACTCAAACAAGAATGAAGAAGGCGAACGCAAGATTAACAAAGCTAAGATTGAGATACGACTTCAAGGTTGTCTACACCGGGATCATTTGTCTCGATTTCACAACATAGTGACGCACTTTGAATTTTGACCTCATCGCAGCCCACCGGTGCGGTGGAGCTCGAGAGTGATTAATCATACAGATAACAACAAATGTCACAATTTGGAAAAAGAAGAACACAACATTTCAACATCATTCTGACACAACACCTAACAACACCCAATGCGTCCACTAGGGTATCTCAGCATAGTTCCACAAGCCATCAGGTTCCCCAAGGGTACGAAGCTTGTAAATTGAAGCTCCAGCCTGACAAAGAGGAGGGGGGTCTAGAGCATCAGCACTGACGACGAATAGAGAACAAAGAAGAAAATGAAAATATCTCACCATTATGGCTGGTATGCTGATGAGAGAGGCGAGAGGCAACGGCCACTGAAGACAAAGTGGGGCGTCCTGCAGGATCCAGGATGCGATTTGACTGAGGGCACATGGTATCAGTTTTGTTCAGGCTTTAATAATTGAAACTTCAACTTACGCTCCAAGACCATGAGCGATATTGAGAACCAGCCCGGTTTCGAGGAATACCAATACCGACAAAAGATACAGCAGAACTCTGGAGGAAGTCATTTGACAGATGAGCAAAGCATCATTTGTGGCACACAAACTATGAGAGAGAGGGGCACTTACACCCAAACTACGTGTGCTGGACCACCAAGAAACACTTTTCTGTTTTTCGGAGACTCTTCAAGGAGAGTCAAGCCTAGCAACATCGCACAGATCCATCCAAAGACAAGCGATAAAAGGCTGTTTGAACCATCACAATACTTAGCAACACTATAAAAGGAAGATAAGAGCACAGAGAAATAATACAAACTAGCTGTTGTGAAAGGACACTACTGGGACAACTCCACCCATACTGCTGACGGGCCATAGACTTGCTACCGTAACGAAGATGGTTTTTATTGTTGAATGTTGGCCAGCGATTACGCCAACATATAGACGGTAGCCAGCATGTACACAAAGAGCACCAAACGTAGCACCGAGGAGTTGTGAAAAGACAAAAGGGAGCAAATTTGACACTGGGAATCGTCGAAAAATCTAGGATTGAGCATATCAGTTATCATGAACTACCATAGCTGAGCGGAAAGGGCCGTACAGTCAGGGTCAGAGTAACGCCAGGATGGAGATGGAGACCCATGAGACGAGGCCAAGGGATACGAGTGGCAGAGATAAAAGCGAAGACCAGAGGACAGCTGTGAGCATGATGAGCAACAAGTCAGTCTCTGGGAATGTACTTAGTCTGTAGTGGAGACTATTACGTACAAATAAATGATCGCCAACTGAATCGAAGACGAACAGAACGGTTATGGTATCAATCAAAGAACGTTAGCACCAAATATGCATCAAACTGGCGAGCATTGACGAAGTGTACCTTGCCAGCCACATCGCGGTCCCCAGACAGAAGGTATGCTGAATAAACGAAAGATGTCAGACATGTGATGTTCAAACGTATCGACGGAACGGTGATGAACATGAGTTGGCTACGTACCAATTTTGATTGTTTCAGCGCATGTGACATAGATGAAGACACCGACACATTCGAATATACACTTTGTAAGGTAAGATGTCTGCTGTGTCCAATGACAAGTGATGTGCTGATTATCTTCTTGCTTCTCTAGATCCATGAGGGACAGTTAGCGTGTTGTTTGTTGAAGAAAAGTTTGAAAAGCTGTGGGTTGAGAGCGGGTAAGTAAGTCGAGTTGAGAAAGTAAATCGAGGTTGGGATTGATTTGGATGCCGAACGCTTCTTGAGGCGGTATATATTCAGTCCCAAAAAGATGGCAGGCAAGGTAGGACCCTGGAATACCCCTAGAGAGGGTACTTACCAAAAATCCGACCTTTTCGTGGTAAGTTTTTTCAAAAATCTCCAAATCCGACCTTTTTCGTAAGTACCCTTTTTTTTTGGCAGAGATCTGGTACCGTTTGACAAGTAGCACAAAGAGGGGTCAACGAAGCCATATGGGAATGTATTTCAAAGTGATGACAGGGCTGTTTGACCAAAAACATCGAGAGGAATTGATGGATAGTGTATCACAAAAGATAAACACGATCATTGAGAAATAGGAAATTACATTTGTTGTTGCTATTGATCACTATCAATCGTCTAAGTCATGTGCTTGAGCGCTTTTCCAAGTTTTTAACTGGGCTTTCAATGCTCTGATAAAGTTCGGGGTATCAATAGAAATAATAAAGCGGCGTAGAATAGCAGGTACAGAGTTAGACCTTCGCCCAAGTCAGAAAAGTTAGAGCTTCTTGAGGGTAAAAAACATATACTATGTGAGATGCTTCT